GCCCTAGCCCAGCTCCGGGGTCCCCTCTCTGTGGATGTCCCCCTGGTGCCCGAAGGCCTGCTTACACCTGAGGCCTCGCCAGTCAAGCAGAGTTTTTTCCACTATTCTGAGAAGGAGCAGAGCGAGATAGACCGTCTCATTCAGCAGATCAGCCAGCTGGCTCAGGGCGTGGACCGACCCTTCTCAGCTGAGGCTGGCACGGGTGGGCTGGAGCCACTCGGAGGGCTGGAGCCCCTGGAGTCTAACCTTTCCCTGTCGGGGGCTGGTCCCCCTGTGCTCAGCCTGGAGCTGAAACCCTGGAAATGCCAGGATCTGGATTTCCTGGCTGACCCTGATCTGTTCCTGGAAGAGACGCCCGTGGAAGACATCTTCATGGATCTCTCTACCCCAGACCCCAATGGGGAATGGGAGTCTGAGGATCCCGAGGCAGCGGTCCCAAGAGGGGCCCCATCGCCTTGCAACAACCTGTCCCCAGAAGACCGCAGCTTCCTGGAGGACCTGGCCACATATGAAACCGCCTTTGAGACAGGTGTCTCAGCATTCCCCTACGATGGGTTTACTGATGAGTTGCATCAACTCCAGAGCCAAGTTCAAGACAGCTTCCATAAAGGTGAGTCCAGCCAAAATGTTCAAGAACTCAAGTTCCTGTCTTGCCAACAATGTGCTGGGTGGAACTAAACAAGTAAATTCCCCTCTCTGTACCTCAGTTTTATTAGTGAGATATTTATTATTCTAGTTGTTAGGATAATGTCACTTGCTGTGTAGAGCAAGTACTAATGGAAAATAATATGGAAGTTCTGGATAAGTAGGCCTTGAGGGCAGAGGTTATGGTGTGGGATAAAATACAAAAGAATCTTGAATAATAGTTTGTGCTTCCTAACTCTATGAGGGACCTAGGTCTGCTATCCCAATCCATTTTACAAATGAAGATAATCAAGGTCCCAGAGTTAAAGAAATTTGCTTAGGGTTACACAACAAATTGACAGACGAAGGATTAGAGCTCTGTGCCAGTATTCTTTGTCCCCTAAAGGGAATACAGAGCGAGACTTGACAGGAGTTTGAGAAAGACAATGGGACTCAGCCCCAGGAGAGAGTCCTTGCTATGTCTCCATCCTTTCTAAAGCCATAGCTTCACTCCATTCATCCAAACTACTCCTTTATCTGCTGATCCTCTGGTGGATCAGTCATTGGACCAGCGTATTTGAAGCCCACCACATGTGCCAATGGTACATCACACCCTCAGCCTATCTCTCCTGATAAGCCTAACTGACAGTATGTCTCTCTCTCTCTCTCTCTCTCTCTCTCTCTCTGCAGATGGAAGTGGAGGGGAACCAACGTTTTGAATAAGTCTGTGACTTAACGTCGTCAAGTATGGCATATTGTCATCAAGACGTGGAGCCGTTCTCCACCCCCCCGGGATTGTTGGGGGGATTCTGGGGGCCAGAGGGGGATAGATCTGATTCCCCAGGCCCTGCAGGATTTGGGGGGGGGGAGGTGGGAGGACAAGGGAGGGGAGCTTCTTTTTAAAATTTAGAGACGTCAAACGATCCCAGTTTCCATTTCAATCTGTATTCACTCGTAGTGAGTTTCCTTGAATGGGATTTCAAGCGGAGAATGGGGGAGTCTCACTTCCCCCGCCCCGCACTGCCCCATGGGCCTGGGCCAGTTCTCCACTCCTGGGGGCCAAGTCACCCCTGGGTCTTGGTGGGGGAAAGGCAGTGCCCACCCGGGCCAGCCTGTGCCCTGAGGGGCTCTTGACACCCACGTAGAATTCTCTACACACCAGTAACGGGATTTCAATTCCGATGGACTCTGCCGCCCTGGCGGCCCTTCTTGTGACTTTTGCGCCCCGCGCCTGGGGTGGGGGGCGCGAAGAGACGCTACGTTCCTTTCCGATGGAGGAAGGCAGACCTGCCGCGTCACACGTGTGCTTGCACGAGTGCGTGTACCTGGTGCGGGACTCACCCGGCTGCCCGACTGCCTGGGCCTGCCCAGGTGGCCACCTCGTGGTGCTGCGGTGACTTTGTAGCCAACTTTATAATAAAGTCCAGTTTGCCTTTTTGGTACCCCTGGTGTCGTGCTCTTCTGTGAAAAGGGTAGAGTGGGGATTCAAGAAGTTTGAGAGGCCCCCATAGGAGCCTGGGGGTCAGGCGGGAAACTTTAGATGTGCTGACAGCCCTGGCATTTCTTTGTTCACTCCTGTACTCATTCATTCATTTACGCATTCATTCATTCATTCATGCAACACCTAAGCATTCTATGTGTGGTCCACCCTGTGCTGAGAGCTGGGAGCCGAAACAAATGCTATAACTTAGCTTCAAGATGCTTTGGTGTCCAGTGCTAGAGGGTATTGGAGTTTTGTCTCTGCTCCAGGCTTGCAGTTCTCCCAGTGTGGGAGGGGGCAGAAAGGCCTGGGGTGGTTAGGGGATTCAGCTTGGCATTTTCCTGGACATGAGTGTGATGTTTCAGGACATGAGTTTCTTTCTTCAGCCTGGCCCTACAGGCAAGCAAGTTCCCTGGATTTAAGTCCCCAGATCTTCTCATTGGAGATTATAACCACTTCTGTTACCCCTGCATGCGGCTTTCAGCGGACACTTTTACATCACTTATTCATTACAATAAAGCCTGTGGACAGGTGTATAAGCACCATTTCATTGATGGAGAAATTGAGGATCAGAGGTAAAAGGGGATTTGCCCCCACAGGTATTGAGAGGCATAGGTGGGCGACATCCCCACATCATCTGTGTCCAAGCCCTGGCCCGTCCCCTCTCCCCCCAGAGCCCGTGAATCATCATCTCAAATCATGCATCCCAGATTCCCTGAGAAGGGCAGGCTTAGGCGGGAGCAGGGGCCTCTTCCCCTCCAGGTCTGGGAGCTAGAGCAGACCCCAAACTTCTGAGCAGAATATAACTTAGTCAAGAAAAGAGGTTTCCAAAAATACTGTCTTCATCCAAGCTTGAGGGTAAACAACCACAGAGTATGGTGGGGGCAGGAATGAAAATTAGGAGACAGAAAGACCTGGATTCAAATCCCACCTCCACCAACTATTCACCAAGTATGATCTGAGCCTCAGCTTCTTTGCAGGTGAAATGGAGTTGAAGGAAACATCCCTGACCTCCCAAAGATGGGACCGCCTATAAGGTGGGGATCACAAAAAGGACTAAGTTATTAAAGTGAATTAGAAGTCAATGGTGACTGCAAAGGCTCACAAGTTACTTTCTCAAAGTGGGGAAGGCCCCCACACCAATCCAGCAAAATACAGAAGCTGGATTCCAGGAGCTGAGAGCTCAACATTGAGAATTCTGCAAACCTCCTCTTACTCCAAACCCTCCAGCTCTAAGGCCATGTGCTTCAGAGGTCCTATGGGAAGGAAGACATTCCAGGGACCTATGACTTTTTTTCCACCTTGAACACCTCCTTGGGTGATGCGGGACAGTGCAGTCTTGCCCTTAACTTTCCTGTGCATCTGTTCTCCAACTTAAAAGAATTGGCCTACAGGGACTTCCCTGGTGGTCCAGTGGTTAAGACTCTGTGCTTCCACTGCAAGTTCAGTCTCTGGTTGGGGAACTAAGACCCCACATGCCAGGCACCATGGCCCAAAGGTGAAAAAAAAACTCACTCCTGTGAGCCTCAAGAGGACTCTGCGCCTGCTCCGCACCTGACCAAGTACAGGGTCAGACACATGGCAGACACATTAGACGTATTTTATCTAGACGACCAGTTCTGAAGATCAGCCCAAGGATTTGGGTAGGAAGTCGGCAATTTCTCCCAAAAAATTTTGTTCCTAAGTTCTGCAGAGGCCCGAGAGTTGTATATTTCGCCTTGGAATCTTAAGTGATCATAAACTCAAGACATATACTGGAGTTCCATCTAAAAACCTTTCTGGTATGTTAGCTAAACTTCTTGTGGCAATCATTTCAAAAATTCAGTTCAGTTTAATCGCTCAGTCATGTCAGACTCTTTGCAATCCTATGGACTGCAGCATGCTAGGCTTCCCTGTCCATCACCAACTCCTGGAGCTTGCTCAAACTCATGTCCATTGAGTCGGTGATGCCATCCAACCATCTTATCCTCTGTCATCTACTTCTCCTCCTGCCTTCAATCTTTCCCAGCATCAGGGTCTTTTCCAATGAGTCAGTTCTTCGCATCAGGTGGCCAAAGTATTGGAGTTTCAGCTTCAACATCAGTCCTTGGAATGAATATTTGGGACTGATTTCCTTTAGGATGGACTGATTGGATCTCCTTGCAGTCCAAGGGACTCTCAAGAGTCTTCTGCAACACCACAGTTCAAAAGCATCAATTCTTCGGCGCTCAGCTTTCTTTATGGTACAACTCACACATCCATACATGACCACTGGAAAAACCATAGCTTTGACTTGATGGACCTTTGTTGGTAAAGTAATGTCTCTGCTTTTTCTTATGCTGTCTAGGTTGATCACAGTTTTTCTTCCAAGAGCAAGTGTCTTTTGATTTCATGGCTGCAGTCACCATCTGCAGTGATTTTGGAGCCCCCCAAAATAAAGTTTCTCACTGTTTCCATTATTTCCCCATCTATTTGCCATAAAATAATGGGACCAGATGCCATGATGGTAGTTTTTTTGATGTTGAGTTTTAAGCCAACTTTTCATTTTGCAATATGCATACATAATCAAATCATTATTCTGTATAACTTACACTTATACACTGTTATACGTCTATTATATCTCAAAAGGCTGGGAAAATTGCTCATTTTCTAATAAAATTGTTCATCAACTGAAAAAGCCCTATAAACCTCCCTGATGATCACCAAAATTGAGGGATGTTTGAGAAGTTGCAAAAGTCAACAGGAGCCTAAGGAAACAGGATGACAAAATACAATGTATTCTAGATAGGATCTTGGGCTCTTTCCCGGAACCCCACTGCCTTGTGGGACAGGGGCTGGTTCCTCCCTTCTGGGCAAGTTTTTTCGTATCCTCTGCCCTTGCTAGCCTCTTTGGGTACGGAAGCTGAGAAGGACAACCATGGCGGCCCATCTGAAGAAGCGGGTTTATGAGGAGTTCACTAAGGTGGTTCAGCAACAGCAGGAGGAAGTTGCTACTAAGAAACTCCGGCTGACAAAACCAAGTAAATCTGCGGCACTCCACATAGATCTGTGTAAGGCCACCTCCCCAGCAGATGCTTTGCAGTACCTGCTTCAGTTTGCCAGGAAGCCTGTTGAGGCAGAAAGCGTGGAGGGAGTCGTCAGGATTCTCTCGGAACATTATTACAAGGAGAATGACCCATCTGTGAGACTGAAGATTGCATCATTGTTAGGTTTACTGTCAAAGACTGCAGGATTTTCACCAGACTGCATTATGGACGATGCCATTAATATCCTGCAGAATAAAAGTAAGTTGCAGTTTAAAAGCTGTAGAGGGAGTTCCCAGGTGATCCAGTGATTAGGATATGCACTTCCACTGAAGGGGCAGGATTTCCATCCCCGGTTGGGAAACTAAGATCCTCTATGCCTCGCTCTGCAACCAAATACATAAATAAAAGTTGTATAATTAGAGCAGAAATCTTTAGTTCCTTTTATATAGAGTGTAGAGCAAAGTTTTGTTGTATTGGTGGTTATTGAAAAGAAATTTGAGGATGATTCAGTAAAACCATGTACATATATTTACCTTAGAGTTAAAATACAGGTTTGTCTCTTAATAGCTATCATTTATTGACCTCTGCTAACAGCCATATACCTAAGGTAGTTTACATATGACATAAGATAGATACTATTGTCCTTATTTTATAGGTGGGGAAACTGAAGCTCAGAGAAGTTAACTGACTTGTTCAAGGTTATGAGTCTGTAATAGAGTTGATGTTTTGTTGACTGTGCCTCCCATCCCAGCAGGGGGTTCCTGGGTGGCTCAGTGGTAAGAACCTGCCTTTACCGGCAGAGATGCAGGAGGCACAGATTCGATCCCTGGGTCGGGAGGATCCCCTGGAGAAGGGAATGGCTGCCCACTTTCAGTACTCTTGCCTGGAGAATCCAATGCATGGAGGAGTCTGGTGGGCTACAGTTCATGGGGTTGCCGAGTCAGACATGGCTAAGCGACTGAGTACACACACCCATACCCCACACACCCCCCTGGTCATGGAGTCCTCCACCATTTAGTTCCTATATGTTGTTGCCTTTTCTGTTTGTTCCTTGTTGATGTGCACTAAACTTCTCAGTGTTTAGGTAAAAAGGAAAACTGTTTCACCATAAGAATTTTTTTTTTAATTATATGTGTCTTGTTTTATTTATGTACAAGATTTTCTAATAGAGTTAGTGCCTCATTGCTTTGATACTTACTCTGATATTAAATAAAAAGATCTTTTGCTGGTGTTTCTGATTTAAAAAAAAAAATAGATAGGATCTTGGAACAGCAAAAAGGACACAGGTTAAAAACTAAGGGACTTCCCTGGCAGTCTAGTGGTTAAGACCCCATGCTTCCCATGCAGGGGACATGGGTATGATCCCTGATCAGGAAACTAAGGTCTCATGTGTTGAATGGCATGGCCAAAAAATTTTTTAAAAAAAACTAAGGAAACCTGAATAAAGTGTGGACTTTAGTAAATAATAATGTATTGATGTTTAATCATTAACTGTGGCAAATGTACCACATAAGTGTACAATGTTAATAACACAGGAAATAATAGATATGGAGTATATGGTAACTCTACTAGTATTTTTATGTATCTGTACATCTGAATCTATTCTGAAATTTAAAGTTTCTTTAAAAGGCAAAACTAAATAAAGGAACATTATAAAAATTAAAAACGAGTGAGAATAGAGAAACACCTCTCTGGTGTTCGGCGTTGTGGCGGTAGGGGATAGGCGATAGTAGAGTGTGTTTTGATCGGAAGGCATCTCAGCGTTCAGAATACGAGCGCCCAGCCACCAAGTCCAGAAGAGCCACCGGCTCCCCCTGCTGGACGAAGAAGGATCTGCTTCTGTTTCTCGCCCTGGCAAGGTCCCTGTGACTCAGACCATCAGAGCTTAGAACACACGGATAAACTGAGGCTGGAGGGGAAAGAACTTGCCAGATGGCACACCCAGAACTGCTGCAGAAGCCAGACCAAACCCTCAGCCAGTTTCCTTCCCATCAATACCAAACTCTGTCCTCGGGGTAGAATGTAAGAGAAAGGGTTCAAATTTGGCGGCATAGACACTGACCTCAAGGGCTGGCTCTTCATCTTTATTTTTTAATGTGGTAAATATTTACAAAATATACATGTGCCAGGGGCTGTTCTGGGTGCTTAGGGATACAGCAGTGAACAGACAAAGGGGATTCTCTGCTGACCCAGTGGTTAAGACTCTGCCTTGCAATGCAGGGTACATGGGTTCCATCCCTGGTCTGGGAACTAAGATCCCACATGCCATGGAGCAAGTGAGCCCATGCGCCACAAGAGAGTCTGTGAGCCGAAACAAAAGATCCCACATGAAGCAATGAAAATCCTGCATGCTGCAACTGACCCAAGGCAGACAAATTAAAAAAAATTTTTTTAAGATAAATAAGATCCCTGAAAACAAACAAACAAACAAACAAAAAAAGATCCCTGGGCCCACAGACTTTACATTTCAGTTGTGGGTTGTTGTTCTTCAGTAGCTAAGTTGGGTCCTACTCTTTGCAACCCCATGGACTGCAGCACACCAGGCTTCCCTGTCCTTCAATATCTCCTGGAGTTTGCTCAAACTCATGTCCATTGTGCCAATGATACCATCCAACCATCTCATCCTCTGTCACTCCCTTCTCCTCCTGCCCTCAATATTTCTCAGCATTAGGGTCTTTCCCAATAAGTTGGCTCTTCACATCAAGAGACCAAAGTAGTGGAGCTTCAGCTTCAGCATCAAGCCTTCTAATGAATATTCAGAGTTGATTTCCTTTAGGATTGACTGGTTTGATCTCCCTGCTGTCCAAGGGACTCTCAAAAGTCTTCTCCAGCACCATAGTTTGAAAGCATCAATTATTCAGCCCTGTCTTCTTTATGGTCCAGCTCTCAGTTGTGCATGACTACTGGATAAACCATAGCTTTGACTTTTGTCCGCAAAGTGATGTCTCTGCTTTTTAATATGCTGTCTAGGTTGGTCATAGCTTTCCTTCCAAAGAGCAAGTGTCTTTTAATCTCATGGCTGCAGTCACCATCCACAGTGATTTTGGAGCCCCCCAAAATAAAATCTGTCACTGCTTTCACTTTCCCCCCAGGTATTTGCCATGAGTGATTTTAGTGGGAATTCCTAATAATGTACTTTGACAACTTTGAGAAATTTCATAGAAATAGCACCTGAAAAAACAGCACATATTAAGAAATTATGTTAATGATTATCTTTCACATTCTCCTTAATAATAATCTCCTTGTTACAAACCCAAGTCCAGACCCAGAAGGGAGTATGACTAGGATCATGAAAGTATCGACCTTGGAACATCGGGTCTGCGCCAGGCATGAATGCTGCCTACGTACTTGCTAATTGTTCCTGAGACTAGCCCAGAAGGGAATGACCTGGGGTAAACACAGGCGATCTGGACTATGTCGGTGGAGTCCACGACACTTAGGAGTAAGTGATTAACACAGCATGTGTCTTGAGAAAGATAAGATCTGAGAAAGTCTTGTAGTCTGCAACTAGGAATAAAAGCTGGACTCAGAGTGGACTCTGCACCTCAGCCCAATAGAGGCTGCAGGTCCCCTGGCCCATTGCACCAGATTTCGTGTTCTGTCTTCCTTCTCGTCACTTGCTCCCAGACTATTAGGGCAACAAGTGATGGGACCGGATGCCATGATCTTAGTTTTTTGAAGGCTGAGTTTTAAGCCAGCTTTTTCACTCTCCTCTTTCACATTCATCAAGAAGCTCTTTAAATTCTCTTCGCTTTCTGCCATAAGGGTGGTGTCATCTGCATATCTGAGGTTGTTGATATTTCTCCCTGCAATCTTGATTCCAGCTTGTGCTTCACGGGGCCTGGCATTTTGCCTGATGTACTCTCCATATAAATTAAATAAGCAGGGTGACAACATACAGCCTTGATGTACTCCTTTCCCGATTTTGAACCAGTCCTTTTGTTCCATGTCCAGTTCTGTTGCTTCCTGGCCTGCATACAGGTTTCTCATGAGGCAGGTAAGGTGGAATGGTGTTCCCATCTCTTGAAGAATTTTCCACAGTTTGTAGTGGTCCACACAGTCAAAGGCTTTAGTGTGGTCATAAAGCAGAAGTAGATGTTTTTCTGGAACTCCCTTGCTTTTTCTACGATCTAGTGGATGTTAGCACTTGTTCCTCTGCCTTTTCTAAATCCAGCTTGAACATCTGGTAGTTCTTGGTTCACGTGCTGTTGAAGCCCGGCTTGGAGAACTTTGAACATTGCTAGCATGTGAAATTGGAGAAGGAAATGACAACCCACTCCAGTGTTCTTGTCTGGAGAATCCCAGGGACGGGGGAGCCTGGTGGGCTGTGGGTCACACAGAGTCGGACATGACTGAAGCGACTTAGCAGCAGCAGCAGCAGCATGTGAAATGAGCAAAATCGTATGGTAGTTTGAACATTCTTTGGCATCGCCCTTCTTTGGAACTAGGATGAAAACTGACCTTTTCCAGTCCTGTGGTCACTGCTGAGTTTTCCAAATTTGCTGACATATTGACTGCAGCACTTTAGCAGCAGCATCTTTTAAAAGAGCTCAGCTGGAATTTCATCACCTCCACTAGCTTTGCTTGTAGTGATGCTTCCTAAGGCCCACTTGACTTCACACATCAAGATGTCTGGCTCTAGATGAGTGACCACGCCATTGTGATTATTCAAGTCATTAAGATCTTTTTTTGTGTAGTTCTGTGTGTTCTTGCCAACTCTTCTTAATCTCTTCTGCTTCTGTTAGGTCCTTGCTGTTTCTGTCCTTTATTGTGCATATCTTTGCATGAAATGTTCCCTTGGTATCTTCAATTTTCTTGAAGAGATCTTTTGTCTTTCTATTCTTTTGAGAATAGAAAAGATATCTTCTGTCTATTCTATTGTTTTCCTCTATTTCTTTGCACTGTTCAGTTAAGAAGGCTTTCTTATCTCTCCTTTCTATTCTTTGGAACTCTGCATTCAGATGGGTATACCTTTCTCTTTCTCCCTGACTGACCTTTCATTTCTATTCTTCTCTCAGCTATTTGTAAGGCCTCCTCAGACAACCATTTTGCCTTTCTTGCATTTCTTTTTTTGGGGGATGGGTTTGGTCATGACCTCCTATACAGTGTTACCAACCTCCAGCCATAGTTCTTCAGGTGCTGTATGAGGCCTAATCCCTTGAATCTATTTACTACTTCCACTGTATAATCATAAGGGATTTGATTTAGGTCATATCTGCATGATCCAGTGGTTTTCCCTACTTTCTTCAATTTAAGCCTGAGTGTTGCAATACGGAGCTCATTATCTGAGCCACAGTCAGCTCCCAATCTTGCTTTTGCTGGCTGTATAGAGCTTCTCTACTTCAGCTGCAAAGAATGTAATCAATCTGATTTTGGTACTGACCATCTGGTGATGTCCATATGCAGAGTCACCTCTTGTATTGCTGGAAGACAGTGTTTGCTCTGACCAGTGTGTTCTCCTGACAAAACCCTGTTAGTTTTTGCCCTGCTTCATTTTATACTCCAAGGCCAAACTTGTCCGTTACTCCAGGTATCTCCTGACTTCCTACTTTTGCATTCCCATCTCCTATGATGAAAAGGACATCTTTTTTGATGTTAGTTTAGAAGGTCTTGTAGGTCTTCATAGAACCATTCAACATCAGCTTCTTCAGCTGAAGAGGCTGAAGCAGCCATGGATAGATGCAACAAAAAGTGAATAAAATCTCAAAGGCACATATAGTACCCGCAGTCAAGGACAGAGATGCCGCTTGGTAGAGAACCACAGCTGCAGCTTAGAGAGTCCTGGCTTAGAGTGTGGGGACGAGAAGCCTTTTCCTAGGAGGTAACATTGAGCTAAGACCTCAAAGATGAGAAAGAGGAGTAAGAATGTTCCAGGCCAAAGGAAAGCAAGAGGAGACGGGAAAGGCTTCCACCGGCTTAAGCACTAGCAAAGAAATCAGTATGGCTGGACCCAGGCCAGCCAGAGGCAGAGACGTTGGAGAGGAGGGGAAAGATTACTCAGGGCCTAAAACCATGACAGGAAACTTAGATTTTATCTCCACATGCAGTAGAATCCATTGAGGAGATTTAAGCAGGAGAATGACATGATTTGATCCACATATTAAAGCCAACCCTCTGACAATGTGTGGGGAAAGGATTGGAGGAGGCAAAAGTGGAAGCTGAGAGACCAGGTAGGCTCCTGCAGTGATGCAGGCAGGAGGAAATGAGAGCTTTTACCAAGTATGAATGGAAGTAAAGGACTGGATTCGGGATACCTCGGAGACGTGTGTGTGTGTGTGTGTGTGTGTGTGTGTGTGTGTGTGTTAGTCATTCAGTCGTATCTGACTCTTTGCGACCCCATGGATTGCAGCCCACTCTTCTGTCCATGGGATTTTCCAGGCAAGAATACTGGAGTGGGTTGCCATCCCCTTCTCCAGGGGACCTTCCTGACCCAGGGGTTGAACCCGGGCCTCCTGCATTATAGGCAGATTTTCTGCCATCTGGGCCACCAGGGAAGCCCACTTTGGAGACAGAACTAACATGATTTGCTAAGGCATTTAAAGTGGGGATGAGGAAAAGAGAGGAGCCTTGTATCTCTGACTTTAGCAACTGGATGAAGTGTTGATGTTTATTTAGACTGGGATGAGATGAGCATCAGGACTTTTGTAGTATTGTCTGGTGCTGGCAGGACTAATTCCCAACCTCTCTGGATGAGGGCATATCCATCTTAAGCCTCAAGGAGCTCCCAGAAATAATGTGTCACAGGCATTGAGCAGGACACAATCAAAGATAACCAGATACACAAGGAGCAAGACCACATGAATATGAACAAGAATTTGCAGAACAAACACACACAGTAACATATATTGGAGTAGTCAGTCACTAATTTAAAACAATTATATTTTTTCATGCTTAAAGAAGTACATTACAAAGTCAAGAACATCTATAGGGAACATGAAATGGAAACAATGATAAAGCAGACTTGAAAAAGAGCCAATAGGACCTCTAACAATAAAATAGATGAAAACTAAAACTAAAAAACAATCGGAGGGCTTCCTTGGTGACTCAGTGGTAAAGAATCCACCTGCCAATGCAGGAGACATGGGTTCAATCCCTGATCCAGAAAGGTCCCACAGGCCTTTGAGCAACTAAACCTGCATGCCACAACTACTGAGCCTGTGCTCTAGAGCCCAGGAGCTGCATCTACTGAGTCCACGTGCCCTAACTACTGAAGCCTGCCCATCCTAAAGCCTGTGCTCCACAATAAGAGAAACCACCGCAATGAGATGCCCACGCACCGCAACTGGAGGGGAGCCCCTGTTCACTGAAACTAGAGGAAAGCCAACACAGCAACGAAGACCTAGCACAGCCACAGAAATAGAAAAATACTGGAAAATTGTAAGAGCCAAAAAGTCACAATGCCATATGAAGATATTCATTTGTTTGTTTTGGCAAAAAAATTTTAAAACAATGTGCTGAGTGGCCCATTTGTACATTTTCTGAAAAGGAATTGCCTGTGATCTGGGCCTCTTAATGTATCACAGGCTACTATAATCCAGGGCAAGTTTTAGTGAAAGTACACAATCCAAAATACTATTTTCTGTTTCAGTTATTTGAACTGAAGGAAATAAAATGACACTATTGATACAATGAACACATGTAATTAAAAATCATTATTTTAAGAAAACATTAGTAGCATATACTGGGGTTCCCAGGTGGCACTGGTGGTAAAGAAGCCAACTGCCAAGGCAGGAGACGCAGGTTTGTTCCCTGGGTTGGGAAGATCCCCTGGAGAAGGAAATGGCAATCCACTCTAGTATTCTTGCCTGGAAAATTCCATGGACAGAGAAGCCTGGCAGGCTGCAGTCCTTGGGGTCACAAAGAGTTGGATACAACTCAGCACACACACACACACGCATTGCCATATACTGCATATGGAGTATAATTATGTCATATACAGTGCCAGTTACTGAAGTGTGATAGCTTATTACCCAATGTTCCATTCTGATAACTAGAAAAGCATTAATAGATTGTAAAACTCATATTTTACTAGACTGAGGGCCTCAGTTTCTTGCTGGTTGTCAGTCAGAGGCCACCCTTAGTTCCATTCTCCCTAATAAAACTCATATTGCCAAAGACATCATAGAGCCGTAGAGAAAACAAGAACTAGGTGAGCTAAAACTCCAGAGAGGAAAGAACCCTTCATGTGTGAGCTGATGATCACCAGATGTCTTCCTCCCTGGAGATAGCTTCCCATTTTAGGTGCAGGCTGATTGGATTTAGTCCAGGCAGAGGGAACCCATTAGGAGTAAGCTTTGGGTAGTCTCTCATAAAGATAGAAGGTGGAGAGAATGTAAAAAAAAAAAAAAAAAGATCAGGCTGACTCTAAGCCAAAGAGAGATTGTTGTAGGTGTATTTAATAATAGACACAAGGCTAAGACAAAGAACATTTTAAGCAAAGAGTGAATGGGAGATGAAAAGTATAGACAGTCTGTTCAGACGATTCTTCTAAGTGTTACGGTGAAAAAAAAAAAAAACACCAGAAATGCGGCAGTGGCTAAAGATGTGCAGGGAGAGAATTGCTTGTTCTTGACTAGAGTTTATGCGTGTGCTCAATTGTTGGGTTTTGGTTGGGTTTTTTTGGCTATTGAATCATACGGGTTCTTTATTTACTTTGGATATTATCTCCTTATCAGATATATGATTTAAACATTTTTTCCTATTTTGTAGTTTGCATTTTTGCTTTGTTGATGACTTTCTTTGCTGAGCAGAAGCTTTTTAGTTTGATGTGCCACTTGTTTATTTTTGCTTTTGAGATCAAATCAAAAAGCTCATTGCCAAAGCCAATGTTTTCTTCGGGATTTATGCTTTCAGGTCTTATGCTCAAGTCTTTGATCTACTTTGAATTTTTACTTTTTAAAATATTTATTTGACTGTGCCAGGTCTTAAGTCACAGCAAGTGAGATCTTTGTTGCAGCCTGCAGGATCTTAGTTGCAGCATGTGGGATCTTGTCTCCTGACCAGGAATCAAACCTCTGCTCCCTGCATTGGAAGTGCAGTCTTAATCACTAGACCACCAGGGAAGTTCCTGGATTAATTTCTTTTTTTATTTATTTATATTTTTATTTTTTTCCTGGATTAATTTCTAAAGCTTCATTCTTTTGCGTGTGGTTGTCCACTTTCCCCAGCACCATTTATTGAAGGCCGCCTTTCCCCACTGAATATTCTTGGCTCCTTTGTCATAAATTAATTGATCATAAATGGAGTTATTCCTGCAACTTTTGGAGATAGGCACTATCTTCCCTATCTTATAGATGAGGGTCTAAGTCACAGAGTAGATAAGTAACTTGCCTAAGACTATACAGCTTGGGAGAATGGAACTGAAGGTGGTCCCTGACTTGACAACCAGCAAGAATCTGTGGCCCTCAGTCCAGCAGTTCAGAAAGAACCAAATGCTGCCAACAACCACATGAGTTTGAAAGTGGATCCTTCCCCAGTCAAGCCTCAGATGAGACCACAGCCTCAGTTGACACAACTGATTGCAGTTTTAGGAGATCCTGAGGCAGAGGACCAAATGCTGTTCATCACAGGGCTGCGTGTTTTTTTGTTGTTTGGTTTTCTTATGCAAACAACAAACTACCCAACAGTTGAGGCCTTGGTAACTAAACAATGGTCTACTCATTAAGATAAAACACTAAGTAGCTATGAAAAACTGTTTTAATAAAATAATGAAAAGAGTATTCTAAATAATTCCCAAGCTACAAGTAGGATACAGCAGTATATGGAGTATGACTCAAATTTGTTTTTCTTAAAGCATTACATATAAAGAAAAAACAAAGTAGAAAAGATAGATGGCAAAATATTGGCAGGAGTCTTCTCTGGGTTGGGCGGATTACTTGAGGCTTCTCTTTTCCTGTAGGGTTTTTTCTAAGCTTTCCAAATCTTGGTATAAAACCACATGCCTGGCACATAACAGGTGCTTGGTAAATGTGAATCCCATTTCACCCCAGACTCCTCCTCTTCTCTGTGAGGACAAGAGTCCATTGTATTACAACTAATGGGAAAACAAAAGGCCTGGTTCCAAGGACTTCTCCCACTGTGGGCAGGAACCTACTGATGCTTTGCTTCTTCCACAGGTCTGTAGCCATAAACCCCACGATATTCACATTTTGGCATCACCTGACTGAATCAGGGTCAGTTTAACAGACAGGTCTGAGGCAGCCCTTGGGATCCAGGGCACTCCGTGTAGCACCCTGCTTGGGGCTGTGATCTGAAGTCTTCAAAAGGGCCTGTTTCTGTTGAGGCTGCGAGTCCGCCAGAGACAGGAGGCCTTTCTGATGGAAGCAAGCCCAACATCCACAGCCCCTGCCCGCCCTGTCCATTCTCTCACCCCTAGGAAGGCGGAAAACACAAGATTTTCTCCTTCCTCTGTCAGGTCAGACCTTGGGCAGGTTGCTCTACCTGGCTGAACCTCAGACTCTGAGAAACTCCTACTTCCCAGGGCAGCTAACATCTGTCTGTGGTGGCTACTGTCAGTACCAGTCCCTATCCCTGGGGTCCCAAAGCAGAAACTGAAAGTGGGTGACAAAACATGTTTACTCAGGCTTGATGCTCTGATACAGCCATACATAATTTAAAAATACATAATTTAAAGTCAGAAAAATATAATCAGCTTGGTGTGACCTCCCTTCCTCCCCTTGGGCACAGCCTTCTCAACTGGCCCCCTTCAAAATCCTGGAGGCTGGGGGACAGGAATCACTTCTTGGCAGCTTCTGCCTGGGCTGCCAAATCCGCCTCTTTCTGAGCAGCCAGGAACAGGGCTCGCTCCTTCTGGAAAGCGGCCAGCTCTTCTGAACTGAGGCTGCAAGTACAGAGGAACAGTGAGTGAGGGGCCGGTCACAGGTGGGAGCTCACAGCACCCACATCACCGCCTCAGAGCCCCTCCCCGCTCCTGGACGGCCCAGCCCCCATATGTGTGTGTGTTAGTCGCTTAGTCATGTCTGACTCTTTGTGACCCCATGGATTGTAGCCCACCAGGCTTCTCTGTCCATGGGATTCTCCAGGCACAAATACTGGAGTGAGATGCCACTGCCTTCTCCAGATCTTCCTGACCCAGAGATCGAACCCAGGTCTCCTGCACTGCAGGCAGATTCTTTACCATCTGAGCTATAGGGAAGACCCTCCCAGCCCCCACACCTTTTGCTCATCTCTCTTCTCTGCCAGGAGTGCCACTCCACCATCACCTCTGCTTTTTACTATTTTCTTAAATCCCTCCTTATCCTTGGAGGATTAGAACAGCTAAATCCCAATCCAGATTAACCTGCTCATTCTCTGAGCCCAAAAACATTTTGTACAAAGACGTCATCAGGCAGTATATGTATGTCTCTCAGAGCAGGGAGCAGATTCGTGCACTGCTGTATTCCCAGAACAAGTAAAGATCTGAGCAAAGTAAATTCCACCCCTGCTCCATGCTTACCCTCACTCCTCTCAGGAAATAACCAACCATCAGCCTTTGCATGGGGTGTGACTCCGGCAGCAAGAGGCCAGGGAAGGGCTGAGTGCTACCCCTGCCGTCGTCTGGGCCATACGCTCTCCCACCCACCATCTCACCCTCCTGAGGTCTCCGAAGCCCCCATGAGGAGCCCTCTGTTGGCCTGAGGATCAGGTCTGGATTTGAGAACCAACTAGACCCTGTTTGCCTCACCTCCTATGTCCCACTCTGTCTCTAGTGTGATACACCCAGATCACACTGAACTCCTCTGCTTCACTCTTTCACCCTACATTCTTCACAGGGATTCTTCCACTTCTTGGAATGTTTGTCCCTAGTCCCTGAGCTCCTTTCCCAGGGCTCTGCTTGGATGTCAACTGCTCTGCAAAGCCTTCATTGACACACAGGCAAAATCAGGAACCCTACTGCCTGTTCTCAAGACGCTTGTGGTCTGTTTTATCAGGGCTGACCATCCAGCAGTATAACGCTGCACTTATGGATCTGCCTCCGTCTCTGGACTGGGAGCTCCTTAGAAGCAAGGCCAAGCATGACTACCTCCTTCCAGACTGTACCCAGTGTCCCGAGCAGTCTAATGCACATTGGGCGCATTAACAATTATATTCCAAATGAATGAGTGAGAATCTAAGGTCCTTTAACACAGACGCTGACTCTCCCACTCGGTGGGACTTCAGCCTTGTCCTAGAATCAGGAACTTTCCAGGCCCTTCTCTCACACTGAGCTTCCCCCAGATACTCACTCCTTCACCACACGAATGCCCAGGGAACGGGCAGAGCCAATGATGGAGCGGACAACAGAGGACAGGGGCGCGTCTTGGAGGGCAAAGGCATCATCCTGAGCTTTGATGCGGGCGATCTCATACACGTGCTTCAGTGTCACCAGGCCGGCCACCTCCTTCCCTGGGAGCAAAACATAGGCAGCCGTTCAGGAGTCACTGCTTCCCTCCGGAGCCTCCAGGAGCCCAGACGCCTACCCTGCCCCTTACCTGGGCTCCGGGCCCCCTTCTCAATCCCAGCAGCGGCCTTCAGGAAGTAGGAAACAGTGGGTTGGCCAATTTTTATTTCAAATGTTCTATCAGGCTTAAGGGAAAAAAAGAGATATCAGAATTTTCCTGCCCTGCGGCCCCAGCCCAAGGAACCACTAACTTCCTGCCTGCCCCACCTCAGCTCACCTTGCTATGGTGCCCCTTTAACTGACCATAAAACTACAGGAAAAATAATCTTCTAACAAATGTCCCTGTCACCTCTATTCCAGGTCCAGCTCTGCTCTGGAAACCCTGGCAAGTTGGAGGGACAAAAAAAAAAAAAAAAAAGATCTGCGACTAGGCAGGGTGCACTCAGGAAAGATATGGTCTAGTCTCCACTGTGTAAAAGGGGGAAGGGGGGCCGGGCATCAAGAAGAGATTTGGGACTTCCCTGGTGGTGTCCAGTGCTGAAGAATCTGCCTGTCAATGCAGGGGACACGGGTTCGATCCCTGGTCAGGGAAAATTCCACATGCCAACCTAAGCTTGTGCACCACAACTATTGACCCTATGCTCCACAACAAGAGAAGCCCGAGCGCCACAACTAGAGGCAGCCTGCAGGCAGCAACCAAAACCCTGCACAGCCGAAAACAGCCTCAACTAAGACCCGGTGCAGCCAAATAAACAAAAATGAAATTTTTGTTTAAAAAAGAGATTTGCCCCAAGCGGGGAGCCGAGTAGCAACCCCAGGTGACCAGCTCCAGGCCTTGGGGAGAATAAGGAAATTGGGGGTCAGAGTCCCGACTCCGCACCTTCACAAAAATCTTGGTAGGCAGAGGAATGCCTTCTTTGATGTCCTTGGTCTTCTCGTTGAACTCCTTACAGAACTGGTTGATGGAGACGCCTCGCTGTGAGGGAGGCACAGAGGTAAGCGTGAGGAGGAAGGGCCGGGTTCCTACCACCCAGGAGGCTCCATCCCTTCTCTCCTCCTCTTCGCTTCTCTAAGGATACCCATCCTCTTCTCTCGACCCACATTCAACTACCGTTTTGTGTGCCAGATGATTCGTGTGCTCCATACCTCTCTACCCTTTCAATAGCCCGCTGACGAAGGACGGAGGAAGGTGAGCCTCGAAGAGGTTGTATAACTAACCCAAGGACATAAAGTGTGTGGGCAGCAGAGCCGGGGTATGAAACGAGGCAGCCCTGGGCCAGTCCACACCCCTCACCAACGTACTAGATCCAACCCTCCCGCGCCTCCCATGCCTGGTTTTTGCCGCGGCTGCACCTGACCCAGGATGGGGCCTAGAGGGGGCCCGGGCATGGCCTGGCCTGCCCGCACGATGGCCCGGATCACGCCTTCGGCCTGAGGCTTCCTGAGAGCCCGAGTGGCCCGGCTTAGCTTCGACATGACGCGGAGTTCCCGGGCTTAGTTCGCCTCAGATCTACACGAAGAGTTGGGCTGTGGGTGCCGCCATCTTGGGTTAAAGGTCAAGGGTCCTCACATTAGGTTAAGACAAATAAAGCCGACAAATAGCAGCGTTGATTCAATACTTCCACCCTCCAACTGGTAAGACAAGGATGAGATGAAGCGGAAAAAACTCTTAACATGCTATCTTAAGATTGGAGAAGGACTCGAATGGCTCAGATACACATATTCCTCCTGGAGAGCACACAGGCAAGACCTCAGACGGCCAAGCTGGGACGGGGACCTTAATGCCCGCACTGCATTATGGGTATGGTAGTTTTGACTTAGTACGCCAATCCCACAGATTGCTGTGTTTGGGGGCGCCCCCTGCTGGATTTGGTGGTAATCCCTGGGTTTTTAAAAATAGCCTGGAGTCCTCCTTAGGAAATCTCTTCACTTTCTGAGCCTGTTTTCCTCAGAGCGCGGACCTTGGAACCAAATTGCCTGCTTGCTTCTCTTGCTGGCTGTGAACTTGATAGAGTTCTTTAACGTATGCTCAGTATTCTCCTCTGTACGATGGGGATTATAATATATAGCACCTACACCTGGGATTGTTGTGATTGAATGAGCAAAGTGCTTTAGTACACGTAGTCAGCACGTGCACTTCACTGTACAATAAGGACAAAACCTTCAGAGAGCTGTTGTGAGGCTTAAGAGGCCCAGAACATATTTGATACATCACCTGTGTTCAGTAAAATAAGCCATCACATCATCTTATTCTTTTTTTCTTTCTTTCCTTCTTTTTTTTTTTTTTTTAATCATTTGCTATGTGCCAGGCACGCTGTTAATTGCTTTAGATCACTACTTACTACGTCCTCAGTCGTGTGTGATTCTTTGCAACCCCATGGACTATAGCCCATGGGTCTCCTCTGTCCAGGGGATTTTCCAGCCAAGAATACTGGAGTGGGTTGCCATTTCCTTCTCCAAAGGATCTTCCCCACCCAGGGCTCCAACCTGCATCTTCTGCAGCTCCTACATTGGCAGGCAGATTCTCTACCCCTGAGCTACCTGGAAAGCCTGTTAACTGCTTTAAGGGTATTATTATCTTATTTAATCCTCACAATGGCATGAGACAAATTGTTTTATTATACTCTATTTACAAATAGGGGCTTCCTTGGTGGCTCAGTCTGTAAAAATCTTTACAAATGAGAAACTGAGGCACTAAAAGAGGCCTCAGAACATATAACTGGTATGTGACAAGGCTGGGAAACAAGTATCAGGATTATCTCATTCTAGACCTTGTGCTGTTTACCACAGCTCTGTACTGCCTCCTCGACTGAAATGAGATAATCCATGTAAAACCACATGGTAAACTGTGAGATCCATTTTTAATTCTGAATTCATGTTGGATTCCCTCTAATTGTGATTGTTCTTGCCTTTGATGTCTGTCAATTTCTTTATAAAACTCAACCTTATTAGCCTTATCAAGACTCTGGACCCAAGAAGGCTCTTTTGATTTACTTGCCATAAAACGTGCAGCACAGTAATTAACTTCCCTGTGCTTCCTGTCCTTAGGAGTGACATGGTGCTAAATATAGTACCTACCTCACAGTAAATTAGTTAATTTAGGTAAAGCACATGGAAGAGGGCCTGGCCCACACGTCATGCCTTGGGCCCAGAATACCCTGATGAGAAAAGAGAAGAGGAAAACAGGCCTTATCTACAAAACAGCCTCTCATCTCTGCTGCTCCTTAATTTCACTTATCTCACATTGACTTGTATTTATCACAGTTTCTGTTGAATAGCTTTCTAAGTATTTGGGGAGTTTTTCTTGCCATCCTTTCCCTCCTGGCTTTCTGCACCCACTTATTCCACTGCAGTTCCTTCTGTGTTCTGTGACTTTAAGAGAAGTGGGGGAGGGGCCTCGGATTTTGTTCTCTTGTTTATTATTTTCCTCTTAGCAGTTATTGTTGTTTAGTCCCTTAGTCCTGTACAACTATTTGTGATCCCATGGACTGTAGCCTCCAGGCTTTTCTGTCCAGGAGATTCTCCAGACCAGAATACTAGAGTGGGTTGCCATTTCCTTCTCCAGAGCATCTTCCCTACCCAGGGATCAAACCCACATCTCCTACTGAGAGAGTCAATTCCTAGGCAGGTTGATAAAAAGTCCGGGGTCCCAAAGAAGGAGAAAACGGTCTGGGGCTCTCAAGGAGGAGTTAGGGGTCTGGAATTCTCAAGGAGAAGGAAAGGGCAAAGGTTTTTTTCTACATTACTTATTAAGGATTATATAACAGTAATGTATCCTGCTTGAGGACATGTTTCTCCCTCCTGAAAACCTTCTGACTAATTCTTTTTTTTTTTTCTGACTAATTCTGTTGTCTTAAAATGTATATCATGGGAGTGGGTCTAGTAAGATCTTTACAACCTTGAGACATTCTTTTGATTTATTGTAATAACCAATTAAAAAGTATATAATTCCCCTGCTAAGACTAGGGATAGGGGCACTCTCCATCCCCCTTCTGATGTCTGTGTCAGAAGCTTTCTCTGTCCCTTTTTACTTTAATAAAACTCTGCTACACAAAAGCTCTTGGGGGATCAAACCTGGTCCCTGGTCCCAAAGCTAAATCTTCTTCAGAGATCACGAATCCCACACCATTCACCATAAGCTATCACTGAATTGCAGGTGGATTCTTTACTGCTGAGCCACCAGGGAAGCCCATAGGCCTTGATATATTCAATTTTGGAAGAACTAAAAGATAAATAAACTGGGGTGGGGGGAGACAGCCTGTCCCAGAGCAAGCCAAGCTAAGTAGCCTTTATTTCTGGATGCTTCACATCAGCCAGCTGATATTCACAAATTCAATTACAAATAAAGAAGTAAACCTCCCTGAATGAAGGAATCAGGAAGCAGATGGGCATGGCAGGTCCTCAGGAAGCCAAGAATGTGGCCTGGCACAAACTGGGTAGCAATGGGTGAAATTTCCACTTCTTGTCAATGAAAGGACAATTTTGATCATTCCACCTCTTATAAGGAAACAACTTCCTAGTGTGCCTTTGGATATGTGGTTGTCCAGAGTGTTCAGTGGCGAAGGTGAGCCTGAACAGGTGAGTGGGAACCAGATCTCCAGGACCTTGTCAGCCTGCTAAGGAGGGCAGCCTTGCAGTAGGGAGCCACTGAAGCTATTGCTGCTGTTATGTAGTCGCCAAATTCTGTCCAACCCTTTGTGACCCACAGACTGTAGCCCGCCAGGCTCCACAGTCCGTGGGATGTCCAGGCAAGAATGCTGCATTGGGTTGCCATTTCCTTCTCTAGGGGATCTTCCTGACCCAGGGATCGAACCCGTGTCTCCTGCTTGGCAGGCGATTCCTTACCACTGAGTCACCAGGGAAACCCCAGGAAGCCATTGAAGTGGTGAGTATTGGGTTGGCCAAAAATTTCATTCAGATTTTCCATAAGATCTTATGGGGAAAGCCAATGAACTTTTTGGCCAACTCAATATTTACATCATATTCACATTTTGAAAAGGTGACCCTGGTTTGGGTGTGCAGATGGATTGGAGGATGGCAGGGATTGGATGCAGCGAGATGCATTAGGTCAGGACACTATGATGGTGGAGAGATAATGGTAGCGTGGGACCCATTGAAGAGCTATATAGAAGATAGAGTTTATCTTAGTCAACAAATGCTTGTGTAGTAGGAACTGTGTCTGTCTTCATAAAGAGCATCGCATTTAAATCTCATTGCAGGCCTAGGAGGTATGCGTGCATGTGTGCTAAGTTGCTTCAGTCGTGTCCTACTCTTTGCGACCCCATGGACTGTAGCCCACCAGGCTCCTCTGTCCATGGGATTCTCCAGGCAAGGATACTGGACTGGGTTGCTATGCCCTCCTCCAGGGAGTCTTCCCGACACAGGGATCGAACCCGTGCCGCTATGTCTCCTGCATTGGCAGGCAGGTTCTTTACCACTAGTGCCACCTGGGAAGCCCCCTATGAGGTACAGGTGCTGTTACTGTGCCCACTTCACATGTGAGGACACAGAAACACGGAGAGGCTGAGTCACCAGGCTAGAAAGTGTCAGAGTCACGAGGCCAAGCCATTGGCATGCAGGACGTTAGTTCCCCGACCAGGGATTGAACATGTGCCCTCTGTGTTGCGAGCATGTAGTCTCAACCACTGGACTACCAGGGGAGTCCCAAAACTTATTGGAATTTAAAAATTAACTAATTAATTAATTAATGGCTGTGCTGGGTCTTTACTGCTGTGTGGACTTTTCTCCAGTTACAGCAAGTGGGGGCTACTTCTGTTTCCGTGTGTAGACTTCCCATGGCAGGGCTTCTCTCATTTCAGAGTATGGGCTCTAGGACATGCGGGCTTTAGTACCTGTGGTGCTTGGCCTCAGTAGTTGCGGCTCACAGGGCTCTAGAGCACAGGCTCAGTAGCTGTGGAGCACGGGCTTAGTTGCTCTGTGGCAACTACGGGGATCTTAGTTGTGGGATCTTCCCAGATCAGCAATTAAATCTGTGTCTCCTGCATTGGCAGGCAGATTCTTTACAACTGAGCCACCAGGGAAGCTTCTGGAATTAAAAATATTTTTTATATTTTTTTATTTTCAACTCCAGATTGGTTGAATCTGGGAATATGGAGTCTAGGTTGGCCTTTTGTCCCTGTCTCTGGCACAGAGCTCCTAAAACCCTTGGAATTTCCTAAGTGACAAGAGCCAAAAAGGTGAAAGGAGAGTCTTCTGTTATTCATAACAAGCCCCTTTCAACAACTGGAGACTTTAGGTTAATAAGGTGATATTCCTAAAAACCCGTGGGTTCTGGTTGCCAGGGAAATCAACCACATAACTACAGGACTGGAACTTTCAGACCCATCCCCTTGACCTCCTACCTCTGGGGAGAGAAATGGGATAAAGTGTTGACTGAGTGACTGATGGTCCATGATTCCATCAGTCATGCCTACTTAATGCTCATTTTCGTGCTCATTTTCTCAGTCATGTCCAAC